TAGGTAGGCGTGCCACATTTGTCATGGCAGGGCTACCTCGCTGGCGGGTATGCATCACGAGCTTGAACCGGAGCTCGTGAGCTGTCGGACGCGGATAGCCAGACCGGGGGATGATGTAGAGACGAGGCGGCGAAGGAGCGGAAGTGTTCAAGTCGAAGTGTCGGGGAACGAGAGGGGAGAGCTATACTAGGATGTTTCAGCATGCACGTACGCCGTTGCGAGGCATGAAACCAATTCTCACCTCGAACAGCTGCGCGCACCAGGCAGATCTCGGAAGGATGAGCTGGAAAGGTAAGTGTCGCCTCTTGTGGTGGAAGTCTTCACATACTTATAGTGCAGGTGCATACGACGGGACACTTAAATGACACATACCTCCAAGGGTGTTGCATATACGTGATATAGCTCACCTGGGTTGGTATTGCAGCAGCGACACCATGCACGACGTCTCACCTTGTACACAAGCTCTCGACCACCAGACGCACGTTGTTAGCTGCGGCAGACTTCAACATACCTTCCTGACGTTGTAAAGGAGTGTGTGCGTCAAACTGGCTGTCGGGCAAGCAGGACAAGAGGAGGGGACGGAGAGAAAGACAGCAGGCACCCGTGCAAGCAGCAAGTCCACCACGATGACGTCATTGTGTGTTAAGGGCAGGTTCCCACTGCCAGAGAACAGACTTCGCGTCTCTGGCCCCTGTAGTACTGTACATGTTGGTGATAGAACTGTTCCCTGAGCCGGAATTGCGGGACAATTCCCCATACAGAGCAAAAGTGTCGTGTTGAGGGCACTAGTGTGAACGCGCTGCAATTATGCCGGCTTCCTATGTCTTCGTACAACTCGTACCATGCTTCTACTCCGGCTAGCGATGCTTTGTGCATCAGAAATGTGATCTCGTCCCGGAGTACCTCAGCTTCACCAGCTTGAATGAGCAGGGGAGGCAAACCCTTGAAGTCGCCAAACAATAGGCTTGCTGATGCCTGGCTTAGCGGCATGACGAAGGGAAAGCCCCTAGAGCAAGCAGCCTAGATCTTCTTGCACAGCGAGGAGAAGTCACACGGTCCTAGAGACAGACTCAAGCTAGCTTGTACATAACAGAGCCACAGCTAGAGACAATCGTAGACGTCATGTCCTTAGAGAGATGCCCGTCCAATCTCGCAACGTTAGAGCTAAATCAGACACGTCAAATGGGCGCTCAAATCCGCCCGTCCGACCGAAATCGACACGGCACGAGTATTGACAGCTGAACACCATCTCGCACGCCCCAAATCGATTGAAACCATGCACGTTCTCACTGGGCCCAAACCCTCACCCGAACCCTAACCGAACCCTAACCGAGACTCTAACCGACGCGTATCACTAAGACCGCGTGGGTTGGGAGGTTTGATACCTCCCTGGCCCGATATCCCAGAGGTTTACATACCTCGTTGTAGTCTCTACAGAAGCCGGCCCAATTGTCGAACACAGGGTTGAAGTGCCGGTCCGGGTAGAGCGGGCGAGTGCAGGGCAACTCAACAGTGTTGCATTCTGTGAGATGATGTTGTCGCTGTGGACGACAGCGTCCACAGTAAAACCATCCAGATGCCCGGACGGACTTGTTGTGGGGGAAGGTCGCCTTTCGACAGGATGCAAACGAAGAGATTCACGACGAAGCACAAGACCTTCCGGTACCCCGGCTTCGTCGGATCCGCCAGCTCAGATTCGTCGACACGGTGCTGGTAGACATTCGGGAACGCGACACACTTGCCCTCATCCGCAACGACATACCCCAGATACTGGTTCATTGGGCGTTGCAGCCCGAAGGCAGTCAAGAATCCCTGGTCGTCATCCTGCAGATGCTCTAGCGCGCGTCCTTCGTCATCAGCGCCGATTGCAGTCCGGAAATCGAGGCGCGACTCGGTGATATTCTCGCACGCGTAGTAGTAGAGGCCCGTAGCGACGATGTTCTCGTTCGCCATTCCCTCGACGTGCCACGACCCACCGGCGTACTTCGGGTTCTCTGGGGTGAGGACGATATTCGCTAGCTTGACAATCACTTGCAGCGTACGACCGCGGAGCGAGATCTTGATCTTATTCTCCTCGTCCACAGCATTGGGAGGGGCGAAAGGTTCAGGTTCAGGAATAAGCGGCCATCTATACTTTGACTCCCACTCATCGTAGGCATCGTGGTACGCACGTTTGTCAACTGGGCAGTCGTCAAAGTCTGCATAGTCTGGTGCGGGTACCGTGACGTGGTGATACCAACGATACAGACTGGGACGTACGGCAAGTGGAGGCCAGGGACTGGCCGCATCTGAAAAAGGGGTTTGACGTCGCCCGATTCGGAGATCTTCAATTCCATCTGGAGCCATTGGTAGTCATGCGAGATGCAGGACGGTTTCTGAAAGAAGAACCATGTTAACTTCTCAAAATCTAGGCGGTAGTTGAGGTAGTCCTCGAGCTGTACAGTGGAGGCGACGGTAGACGTGCGACCGACCGATGCGCAGGCAGCACATTGACGGATGGATGAGGTCCAGCCATGTTCGTTTGATCCCGGATGACAGTCCTTCTCGTCTGGGATAATCTCGAGCGCGAAGACGCCTTGCACGAGGGATGCCTTCTTCTTCTTCTAGATCCCGTTTATTGCCCTGCGAGGCCGAGCCTCATGATAGGCAGTAAATACATTGTTGTCTACTTGGGTGATGATGGAGGTCGGCGGGACATAGTTGAGCAGGATGCTCATGCAATCTAAGGGTGTGTGGTGGGAGAGATGTCGATGAGGGATGGTGCAAGGGGATGTGCCAGGGTACAGACAGGGGCGAGAGTGAGACGTTCGAGTACGTAAATGGTGTGGAAGGGGGCAGGGCTCAGAAAAGGTGCGTTGCGGACGTCCGCCCAGTCCCGGCCATTTAAGGCAAGGGAACGGGCTATAAACCTGCGGCCTTTGGGTGCGGTTGCGCCCCTGGGTCTCGTCTCTTGCGCCGGTCAGGTGTACGTCTGGCGGTATCCCCGCCATCCGTCAGAACTCCCCCGCCCCTAGAGCGGGCGGGCGCCCGCAGCGCACATTTCCGGTGGGATCTACGAGAGCGCAGTAAATACATGCAATGGGGTCAACTATAGGATAGCGAGCTATATGTAGTAGAGTACATAGTGGTGTTGTCCTGTAACAATTAAACGAGGTCAGCGTGTTGCATGCTGTACGAATAGAGGGAGCGAAAAAGGGGTATGGGTTGCACTCGGGGCAGGGTGCTGTGTCTTCTGGTTGCGCCTCCCATAATGTTATGTTTTGCGATGTTTCGGCTCTTTTGGTGCCACATTGCCGAAGGTGTGCTGCAGGCGACGTGTTGCGCTGACGAACTTGAGGAGAGGTTGCATTGCTGACGGCGCATTGAGGAGGAAGGATATTGTGCGGCCACGACGTCCGAGGTGTGACAAGTGTTGCGAGCGCGCCGAAGCATAGGCGGGGCATTGCAGTAGGAAGTGCATCACCGTCTCCGGAGCTAGGTCGCATGCCGGACAGCGCTTCGAGTCGACCCGTGCGATTCGGTATAGGTGGTCGTTGA